CCAGAAGACTGTGCTGCCATTCAGCGGGACCTGGACAGGCTGGAGAGCGGGGCAGAGAGGAACCTCCTGAAGTTCAACAAAGGCAAGTGCAAGGTCCTGCACCTAGGCAGGAATAATCCCATGCACCAGTACAGGTTGGGGGCTGACCTGCTGGAAAGCAGCTCTGCCGAGAAGGACCTGGGAGTGCTGGTGGACAACAAGTTAAGCATGAGGCAGCAATGTGCCCTTGTGGCCAAGAAGGCCAAGGGTCTCCTGGGGTGCATGAGGCAGAGTGTTGCCAGCAGGTCGAGGGAGGTGATCCTGCCCCTCTCCTCAGCCCTGGGGAGGCCTCACCTGGAATACCGTGTCCAGTTCTGGGCTCCCCAGTGCAAGAGAGACATGGCACTCCTGGAGAGAGTCCAGCGGAGGGCTACAAAGATGGTTAGGGGACTGGAGCACCTCTCCTAGGAAGAAAGGCTGAGAGAGCTGGGCCTGTTGAGCCTGGAAAGAGAAGACTGAGGGGGGAATCTCATCAACGTCTACAAAGTATCTGAAGGGGGGCTGTCAAGAGGATGAGGCCAGCCTCTTCTCCGTGGTGCTCAGCAACAGGACAAGAGGCAACGGGCATAAACAGAACCACAGGCAGTGCCATCTGAACCTGAGGAAAAACTTCTTTCCTGTGAGGGTGCCCAGAGAGCTTGTGGCGTCTCCTTCCCTGGAGATATTCAAAAACCCACCTGGACGCGATCCTGGGAAGTATGCTCTAGAGGACCCTACTCGAGCGGGGTTGGGGGGGGGGGTTGGACCAGATGGTCTCCAGAAGTCCCTTCCTACCGCAACCATTCTGTGATCCTTCCTGAGAGGAGGAGGAAAGGGTCTGAGGCTTGTGTGGTGGCTTGATGCACAGAAAGAATTGACAGTGATCTGGAACTTCTGCATTTACATGTCAGGTAAGAGCAGTATATTTCCACTTGTAAATAGGCTGCTTTTAACGTTGAGGTGGAGGTGACCTGAAGGGTATGCTCAGTAAAATAGGAAATCCAGGTACAAGGCTGATAAGTCCTGAAGACTGATATTAGCAATATGAGCTACAGAGAGTAAAGCATAAGAACATTAGCTAGGGTTTGGGTTTTGTTCCTGTCTGAGCTGTTAGAGGAAGGGATGTGGTCTGTCTGACTGCAGTAACAGCTGTGGCTGCATTTTCCGAATTCCTGAGTGAGTGAGTTAGTAGTGTAAAGTCTATCCAAAGCTGTTACATATACCAGGCACCTTTTGAACTACTATAAAGAATCTAGGGGTGAGGGTTGGAAAAAAAAAAGAGACCTACACCAACTAATAATATCAATCTTTCCTTTATTTTCTTTCCTGTATATTTATTTAGTTATTTATTATTTTAATTTTTATTGGGGACTCAAAACAGCTTCAGTCAAAGGTGCCTTATTTTTCCCTTTATGATGTTGATTTAGGATACCCATGGAAAAAGGAAACGATTAGCACAGGCTTGTGTGGCTCACCCCAGATGTCGCCATTCTGAAATATAGGTGATGACTTGTTAACAAAACCCACGTATAACCTGTCCACACTTCCTTGACACTGAATCTGAATTGGTTGCTATTTAAAAAAAGTACAATGTTTGATTTGTTGATTTACTCACAAAACAAAACACATGAATGAAAACATTCATTTACCTGACTATTGCTTATACACCTACATGAAGAGTTGACTACAAACGGCCACACGTAGTTCCTTAATGAGCGAGAGTGTGTACTTACTAAGCCCCTACCAAGGCAAAAAACATTCAGGACTGAAGTATACTGTGCTTGAGTTCACCATTAGGTTGTGGAAAATGACGGAGGAGCGCCAGGGTATTTAAGGGGAGCGTAATTAAATGCAATCTGGCTTTTTTGCCTCTGTTTGTTACAATACACACTCTTTATAAATGGAGAAGTCCTGAGGTTTATTACAGCTGTTATTTAAGCTGCAATATTTTTTCACTTCTTATATATTAAAAAATATTTTTGTACGTGTATTTTCATTCTATTATACATATTTGGGTGTGAGATGGCTTCTGTGAAAAAGCATATGTAAACTATTTCAGAGAATTTCTGTGTGATAACTTTATACAATAAGTGCAGTAAATAAATAGAATCTCTCTTAAATATTTATGTAAGAAGCTATATTCTGATAACGCAGAGAATGTCTAATTGATGGGGTGCAGTCTGCTCACTTCTATTCAAAATGTAAATAGTTGAATGGTAGGACTGAAAAAAAAATCATTTAAAGAATATGTGATTATACAAAAACAAACCTGATTGATTGATAGTCAGTATTTCCTTTAGCTTACCTTTTAATTCAAAATTTGAAGCTGAATTTAAAACTCTAGGAATGGAATGGAATTTTTTTTAAGAAAAATAGCTTGTACTTCATTGAAGACTTGCTTACTGCCATGTAAAGAATCTAATTTAATATATACTCCTTCTATCTACAGCTCTCTGCATAAGGGTAAGTATCTCTGGGTTTGACCAGCGGTACATGTGTGCTCTTGCAAGTTCTATGTATTTGGTTTTCAGATGTGGTTGGGATAGAGAGCTCCTGTATACATTAATGGGAGCGAGAAAAGTATCCAAATGAACAAAAAAACATTTTAAATTTAAGAAGTATTTATAGCCAGTCTGGTCTCTGGTAACAGGATTCAGAAGTTTAAGGTTTTGCTTGAGCTGGTGCTGTCTTAGTGGAAAAGGTGAAAGCACATGATTTCAACATACACAGTGACAGCTAGTGTCCTTAATTTTCTTACAGCAAGTAAAGTCAGATGCTGTGTTTGTCACTCTGAATGAGGCATCTTTATTACTTTCATTAATAGTCTTTAATAGAGTTCAGGTCAGGCCTTTCAAAAATCCCACACTCCCCCTCATTTCACAAGAAAGCAACCAGGCAAGAGTTTTCTTCCCTCACTGAAGTTTTTAAGTGAAGGTTTTTTTTTTTTTTTTTTTTTTTTTTTCCTCACATACATGGTAAATCTTGATAGAAAGCATTTAACAGTGTGCACTAACAAACTTATACAACATGTACATTACATATATATATATATTTTTATATGTAGAATGTTCTATATACAAACATATACAACTTTTCGGATCTCTACAGACTACAAGAAAATTGATAATTAGAGTCACAAGTGGTGAACTTCTTAACAGAAATGGTAATTTGTAACTGTCTGGAAATATGTAAAATAGGTAAGGGTGGAAAGCAAGATACAGCTGTGACTTGATGAGGAGTACTAGAGAAAAGTTGCTTAAAAGAGTCTATTATTAAAAATTGCAAGTTAGAGGGATGCTAAATTCTCATTTTTCTGTTGCATAAAAATGCACATCAAAGTCTACTGGCAGGCTTTTTCCCTGTTGTTAAGCTAGAGACCGCTGCCAAAGCAAGTCAGACATGGTGTAAATGACTTATTGAAGATACTTTTCTCTCTGGGCATGCTGCTTAAAAGTTGCGCTTAGTTTTTTTTTTGTTTGTTTGTTTTGTTTTTGTTTTTGTTTTTTTTTGCATCTGACTCAAATGAGTGATTGCACTCTAGCTCCAGCCTGAAGACACTTCCACTGAGATCAAGGAAATGAAGACCTTTGCAATATTAGCAACATACACGAGGTACAACCTACTGAACATGTAACATAGAACTAGTAGCTACCTTGTCATTTAAGTGTACCAACTGTTGCCTTACCACGAGGTGCTAGCACTCACCTGGGCTGCTTTTCTAGAAGTTGACAGGTTACACTAATTTGGAAACTGGCTCTGTCATCATGGGTCTTCACGTTATACTTAAATTGGAAACAGCCTTTTCATCTGCACTATGCTAAGTGCAGAAGCAAGTATAGGGCTGGTTACGGCCCAAACTCAGGTGGAATGGCCTTGACTTGATTTCATTGAAGACTACTTAGCTTCTCTGTAGAAGCAGAGAACCTAGGAAGAATAAGGTCTATAAAGCTGGTTGGGGGGTTTGAAGGATCAGGTGCATGAAATGATCCCAGAGATCAGTGTTTTAAGAGTAGTGGCCAGAGTATAGGCAGAGTGAATGTACATTAACATAGAAAATAGAATTGCTATAATGTTCTCATTTGTCTGCCAGTCTAGATGCCTAGTTACAGTGATTCTTCATCATATGCAAGTGACCAGTTCTGTGATCAGGAAGGAGTTCCTCAACCTGGTTCATACTGGCATCAGAGTGGTGAGTTTGCAGTTTCCTGGAACACACAGACATCCTGTTCGGTCATGGGCAATTACAACTCCTTAATTCTGAGCAGAAACCCAGACTTAGGCATTGCTTAGACTTTGACCTTTTTCACCACAAGTTTCTACTATCTTCGTTCTTTAGCTTCTACAATTATAGTGCAGTTTTTTGCATGACAAAGAGAGAAACTTGTCTTGTCACATTTCCAGTTGAGCTAGAGCTGTCAGAGCTGTAATTTTGATTTTGTCCTCAGAGAAATGTAAAAATCCTGTAAAGCCCAGAATTTCTGTTGTGCTACAACGTGAATTTAAAACGTAACATCTCAAATCTGTTCTGTCCCTCTAACTTGCACGGCTGGGCTGATGGTGAAGGCAGACCTCTGGAAGCTGCAGCGCTGTACAATTTCCTGGGCTCCATTTTATTAAAGGAAAATGAAAGGTGTGCGGAAGGCATCTTTTGAGAGCGAGCTCATCTGACACTAGCATGATGCAAATATCACTGAAGTTAAGATCTAGTTAGGAGTGGAGCTGTCTCTGTCTGCATCCAAGTGTCAGTCAAGACTCCTTGAAGGGACAGAGGCTGTTTCTCTTCTCAGAAAAATTTTTAATGCTGCTTTTCCTCACTCTCCTTTTCTAATTTGAACTTACGTCCAGGTACATGAAAACAGGCCTTGAGTGCCTTGTTTCGAAGCTAGTTGTGGAAAATTTTTCTAACTTCATGTTTGGCCTCTGTGAAAGTCAGGATCTTGTAGGCTCCTGTAACTGCAACATACTCATGTGGAATAGGAGTCTGTTCATGGTAATAGGTAGTAGGTGCTATTTACTGTTCTCTTCTGTATCTGCAAGTTGGTGAGTTTTCTGCAGAGTTCACTGTAGAAACCAAACAAGCCACTCTGAGGCAGAAGCAAATTACTTTTAGCAATGGGAGCAGAAAATCTAACTGCCACGCACCTGTGGTGTTATATACGTATGTGCCAATGCGATGCCATATGCTGACAGTTGTTTTTCACGCTCCTCCCCAGGCCCATCTTTTAGTCTTGTTGTTGTGATTTCTGGCCACCAGCTTTACGGGGGTTACACTGCAGTTTCCTTAGCGTAATTTCAACCTACTACTTAAGGAAAGTCCCTGTTCTGCAAGCTGCTGAGCAGCTATATTGAGCAGAAATCAACAGGACTCTCCACCTTGTAGCACTGTTTTCCACCTTTCCTTTGCTAAATTCAAAAGTGATTTCATAAGCTTGTCTTCTCTTCCTACTACTGAGAAATAAGGCAACCAAGTGATACAGAAACTACTAGGATGAAAAATGCCATAGCCCCCTTCAAGGACAACTGAGATGAATCTAGAGCACATTTTACAGATAAGGATGACATTTCATGTGCTCTGGCTTGCAAATAAACTGTCTACTCTCATGTTTAAATGACATTTCAGTTAGTGCCTGTCTTGCTACTTGAAAAAGCTGTAATTTTGGGCACAGGATTTTGAAGTTATTTATTTTTCTGCTAGGAATTAAACAGCACTGATTTCAAGCTAGGTTTTTCAAGGAAAATAAATAGCAGATAAGAATATGCAGCTCAACTCACTTTTCTGTTGAGAACAGTAGCAAACATGCTTGAAAGGTACTGTCTTTTTGTAATGTCATTTTAAAAATAAAGATTTTTGATGTTTAAGTAATTTTTTTGCTCAGACTAGAAATAAATCCTTTTTTTTTTCCCTTCGGTCACAACATGCTTTCTTTTTCTTTTTTTTAAGTTGTCAATTAGACATGCAAGTTTTATAAGTGCATTAACATTCTAGTTTGTACAGAATATTTTTAACCAGACACACTCCCCATTCAGTTCATACCTACAGCTTCTGAAAAACTACATGCCACAGTGCTCGTTGAGTTCCACTTGGGGAAAAAAATTGGCTGCTGCATAAGCTAAGTGTTGGAGTAGGACCCCCATGATTCTGGCTTTCATCTCGTGGTCTGTAAAATTTCTCCTTGGTGCCAACTGTGATGAATCCAACTGAGTAACAGGAAAACATCTTCTAGGAGAAAAATAGTTGTTTCTGGCCAGCGCCTGGTATATCTAGGAATGAATGTTGGTTCCCTGAACAGCATTCTTAGTAAAGCCACAAGTAGCTTCTCCAAAAGTCTAAAACTGGTACCATTTTTTGTCCTTGTATTTCAGCATCACCTACAGAAATGGGAAACAAATACAAAGAGGGATATAAAACAGTGCCCTGCATATGATAAAGCCGTTGATACAAGCCTACTACTCTAGTATCACAAATGACTTGGGTCAATTAACTGTCACAAAACTTGTAAGTTTAAAAAAGAAACATGAACACAATGCTTTACTGTATCACCAGGTCTTGATTCTGCTGAGAGACTTTTAATTTCATAGTTGTTATATTTCTACAAAAAAGACTTACCTGTTATTCCTGTTCCTTAAAAAGATTTTTTTCCTGCGGAATTTTAACTAATTCACCTCTGTACTTTTTGCAGATGAGTAGGAATCAGCAGAGACTTGCTTTTTACTCCTATGGAATAACCCTCCTATGGAGCATAGTAGATATGTCCTAAATATATAAACTTTTTCAGAGTTTCAGGGCAAGTTCCTATTGACAATTTTTGCTTCACACTTGCAACAGCCAACAAAAGGTGAAGGTCTTGTCCAGAGATGAGACACATGTTAAACTAGCTGTACAGATAGTTGAAAAACATGCATTATGGGAAGTAAGTATTATTTAACATCATTGTTTTATTTTCAAAGAAAATCGCTTTAGTTGGTTCCCAACCTTAGCACCAGGACATGGAAGAGCATTCTGTTGCCATCTGTAAACACAGACGCTGTCTGTGCTAGCCAGCCTGCGCTATAATAACTATACCACCGTGTTGTGCGTAGGTGTTTTATGCCCTACTGCAACAGATCTGCTGCAACAAGTGGCTTTAAAAAAAAAAAAAGTCATGGTGAATTAGTGACAAAGGTTGAGAAGTGTCCCATTCTAAATTCAGAGGCTAATGGTGGATGCTCATTTAGGAAAACTTGAGAGGCAGGTGCGTGCCAAAGGTTTTTATGCTGAGCTTCCCATTGTGTGGGGCAGGAAGAATGTTGCATAAGCGAAAGCAAGCAGACGTAAAACAACATGACTGAGTCGGGTGGGGGGGGCCAGGGGGAGAACAGTGCTTGAATGTCTGAAGGTAAGCATGTTCCTGGTTCTAGGGGATGTAGTGCCAGGGCCCCTACCTCATGTGCATGTTTGGAAAATGCCTCTGCGCTGGCCATCATGCTTGCAGTCCTTTCATCCAGTTCTCCCAGTTTCTGTCCTCTCTCATCAAGGGCAATGCGTGCACGAGTCAAGTCCCCAATAACTCCTCCTGCAGCTCCTCTCACACCTTCGATCCCCCCTGATCCAGGGATGTGCTGGGCAAGACTGCGAGAGGCTTTTCCAGCCGTGGCCTCACCAACTGCAAAGTTGAAACAAAGAGAAGGGAATGAGCCGTCTGCCCTGGCTCTGTCAGTGCGTCTCTCCCTTGAGCTCCAGTGTTGCAGCAGAGATGCTGTTTGATGTGCGGATAGCACAGGTGGAGCACTTGGCTCTCCAGCAAGGGAAGACACTAGGTGCCTTGGCACTTGCACAGCAATAGGGCAGTCATGGGCCCCTACTCAGCTGCTCTGAGTCTGCTGAGGAGAAGGACTCACAGATGAGGCAACTAAGGACCCTCCCCTTTCTTCATGCTGTCAGCTTTATTTTTTCATCAGTGATTGATAGAAAGCTTGTGTACCTCTCCAGTCCTAGGTGAGAAGGGCAGGGGAATCACATGTTAATTGCTGCAAAAGAAGAAGCACTTACAAAGCTCCTCTCTGTCAAAAGCTTGTCCACTTCCTCCAAAAAGTCCTTTGAGAAAGCCTCTGTTTTGGGCTTCTGGTGTTTCCACAGGAGTAAACAAATCCCCAAGCATGTCCTAGCAGAGTCAGATACAAGTCCATGTAGGGGAAAAAACCAACAACAACAAAAAAAAGTGAGGTGAAAGTTGTTATAGGGGTTGTCTTCATTTGGATTAGATGAAAGAACTACATACATTGGATCTAGTCCACTAGTTATGTCTGTTGCATGAAGAGCAGTATCAAGCATGAAACATTTGTGAATTGGGAAAAAAGGGGGGAGGGAGAGCGGCTAACCAGAGTCATGTATGCTTTCACAGGAACTCACTTTGTCACTGCCTCGTCTCATGTTTGTTAATACAGAGAAAACATTTTATAAGCAATACATAGAGCGAAATGTCAGTAATTGATACGATCACATTTTGCTTAGGAACAGCAGAGGCAACACTGTAATTGAATAAACAATTTGTTGTGAAGTATGTGTTTTGCTGTAGTGATTATCCAGGCAAGCAGGGCATTTACTCTCCTTTCTCTTTGTAGTGTACGTGAGTTCAGTGCTTGCTAACCATTCATTGTGGAGTTGTTTGGTTTTTTTTGTTTTTTTTTTTCCTGTTTTCTGTTTTTAATAAACCTAAAACCTGTGCCACCCTGCGCGGCTACTGTGCATTTTGGCAATGCCATCAGTAATGCTAAATAAGCCTGTCTGAAGGCACTGTCATGGCGCCACAGGTTTTGGAGCAGTCAAACCACGTTAGAGCCAATCTCAGGCTCAGATTTATTTATTTGCAAGAGTATTAGGAAAGTGAGCGCTGCAGAATAAAACTGATGGATTGAAAAAGCATGGAGCCCCGTTAGTGTTTGAACCCAATGAGGCTGTGCTACAAGGCCAGTTGCTGCCCTGGTGCTCAGCTCTGTGTTTGCACAGCCAAGCCTCGCTAGGCAGAGGCAGCTGTTGTGCTGCACAGAGCACGAGGCTCCTGGGAAGCCAAGTGCCTCGGACAGAGCCGTGACTCACACGTACTGCTCCTTTGCACAGTCACCTGCTATAGGGAGAAGAATTAGTGTAGTGCTTTGAGCCCAAGTAAGTGGAATCGCTCACGCAGCTTGGCTTATTTTGCTAGATAGTAGGTGGTGTTGGAGCATCTGCTTTTTTGAACAGGGATAGTGACTGTGCAAGCCTTTAACTAGCCTCTCTGCATGAAAGCCAAGCTGTGAGCAGCCACAGTATGGCAGTACAGAAAAGCCAGGGCTGCAGTTCCCTTCTGTTGTTGTATGGCCCTATTAAGGTTAATAAAATATGTGGCTTATAACAGCCTCTAGCTATAGGCCCATTATCCAAGACACACTGATCAACCCTTTCGATAATTTCACAATTGGTTCCCTGCAAAATAATCTCTTTTCCAACGAACATAAGCTTGCATGTAATGCTCAGTCCTCACAGTGATTCTTCAGTCTCGAGATAGATGATGCTGTGATGTGATCTGAGCAGCTCAGCACATGCTATTCCCTAGGGCAGAGTGAGTGCTGGCAGGACCATTGCTTTTATTTTTCTATCCTCGTTCACTGCTAATTACATCGCCTAAACTTATTCTTTTTTTTTCCTTTTGTTATGGATGTGTCTCCCTGTAACCTCTTACAAAGCCTGCTTTTCTGTAAATGACATTTTAATTTGCATTTTCATTTTATATATATATATATATA